TCTCTCTCTCTCTCTCTCTCTCTCTCTCTCTCTCTCTCTCTCTCTCTATCTCTCTCTATCTTTATTTCATTTATACTTTCAACGTGTTTATCCAATAGTCATTCGTTTTGCTTTTAGATAGGTGGATATGCAACTCTTTTCAAAACTGTCCAAAGAACAATCGACAATTTAACTTATTAATGCCATCCTCTCAGTGTCACAATGATATTTATTTAAAAAGAAAACCATCGTTAAGCGAATGGTTGTGAATATTTCTGCGACATTTTCTAATAATCGGTTAAATTGGTAGCGATGCGTTAGTAGCGCCGCATTGACGACCATTTGCGTTGAATACCATTTAGTATACCATACTTTCAATAATAATAAAACTATATCCGAAAAAATTCTAATTGAATAAATTGTTCGAAATGAATGAATCAAAGAAATTCAGTCGAATCTATGTATAATGCAATGTTCAATGTTCAAAAAGGCCAAAGCCAAAACGATAAATGTTCATTACGATTTCATTCTCACAAGTAAACAGAATATATAACCAGTGTCTATATATGCAGATTGGGCATGAATTCAGCATAGTAGTTGCCACCCCTCTCTTTCTCTCTCTCTCAATATTCCTGCATGTGCGTTAAGTATAATGCAGTGAGCACGCTCATTTTTTGTCTTCATTCAAGTGAATTAAGAATGCTCACGTGTTTTCAAATAAAACGAATTTTCAATCAAATTCACATAAAAAAGGTTTACCACCAAAGCATACAACATGCAATTCGATTTAAAGTTGATGCGGTAGATGAAACGGGCATAAAGCAAATCAAATAAATCAAAATCAATTTGTTGGCTATTTCCAATATTTTTTCCACAAGCTATAAAGAAAATGCTCACAAATCGAACGTGCATGGCAAAATGATGAAGTGAAAAGTAATAGCGCCAAAACAATCTATTTCGCATAAGGCTTTCCAACACCGCAATCGATTTCAAGCACACAACCAATTGGTCTATTCATCAACATAAAGATATTAAAACCCATGACTTCGTATTTATTTAATTTTTTTTTACACGAATTACATTTGTCGAATGAATAGCATTAGTGAATGATGCCCGAAAATGAAAATACCGAACGAGAGAGTATATAGACAAATTTAATTATATTTGTATTGATTTGATGACGACCACCTCTGAAAGTTAGAACGAACGAGAATATTTCAAATGGATCAATACCCAAAAGCTTAAAGCTTGACCAATTTAGATTTGTGGTTTTCTATGCTTACCAAATGACAACCGGTCATAGTTACGAACGGTCCAATAATTTCGATGAACACAAGTAATTCAGAAATATGACCGAAGACTGAATATTAGTTGAAATTGGTAATCGTAATTTAGTGACGCTGAATATCATCGATAATAAAGTTTTCCTAACTGAATAAAACGAATCCCAAATGAATTAAAGAAGTGAAATGATGAAATAGAAAAAATGACTTTATCAATCTGATTTATGGCCATAGACATATAACATTCAACTATTTTATAGTAGATTCGAAAAAGTTCCAACGCAAAATTGACTCTTGGGAGAAAGAGGGAGAAAATCGACAAGAAAATCGGCATATTTTATAGCGATTAGATTTGGTCAAATGTTTGTGCCATAATCATAAGATTTTGCTATATCCATTTCGAGATAAATTTTGTATCCGAATTGTGAGGAGCTTTGTGAATAAGATTTATAGTAATGGTCACAATGTTAGTCAAGATCCAACTGTATTTGAAGTTTGAATTCTTTAGAATGATTTATTTTCTCTGGGTTAAACACCGTATTCGTTTGCAATTCAAATGAATGAGACAATAAAAAAAAGGTATGACTGCCAAAATTGAATCGTTTCACAAAACTCTTTAAATGACATCTAGTGTTTGGTCAAGATTACCGATAAAATTTCAAGATACAATCGGTGTCTTTTATCTGAACGAAATACCAATATCACATCTTTTAAGTCATCACAGACTGAATTCAACCATAAGCTCATTCAAGCCAAAAAAACATGCGAAAAACAAAAGACGCATACGCAATTTACAGCAGCAAATAACTGAACTCAATGAGTCAAACAAAAAGACACATAACAACTAACGCTTGCAAAAAGATCGAAATCACATACGCATCTGTTTTTTTTTTTTTTTTTGAGCTACAAAAGTAGATACGCATCTGTTGTATTTCTTGAACAAGTGCAAAAAAACCATGTGCACACAAGTCAAAAAAGAGACAAAATTCACAAATAGGCTGAATGCTTGTTTCTTTAATGTCTAGCTTTAGATAACTCAAATATGCGTGACAAACGACGCAAAGAAAGGAAGAAGGGAGTTCGGCGGAAATGAGGAGTGAGCGACTACTACACAAATGTATGCAATGACAAACAATAGACAATGATAGCAGCAAAGGCGGATCTCTCCCCCCTTCGTAATGCTATTGTATTTATAATACAAAATAATATACAAAATGCAAATAAAAGTTTAATTCTTTTACTATTTCATCGTTAAATGTTTTCTTTCTCATAGTTTATATGTCCTTTTTCAATGGACGTAGTCGATTACCATCAGTCAAATATATTCTGATTGTGATATGTTGTCCATTCGTTGCTAAATTATGCATCATTCATCCATATAAATTCAATAAAATCACTATTGTGATATCGGTAGATGGAAATAATTGAAAATGCGTTTCAGGTTACTGTCGTTCGACCAAAAACAATCAACAAACAAACGATGTCAATTGTAATTCCGATACACATTTTCCCATGTCAATCGGGAATATACCTGATACGCATAAGCGTAGGCGGCAGTAGACGGTTGATTTGTATATGCATATAACTTTCTTCATCTCAAAACCAAAGTGAAAAATGTATTTTTTAATGGATTAATTTTCCATTGAAAACCTAATGGTAATTCTTCGTCAAATGTCAAAACATCCAAAAGTGACATTAAAAGCGTTACAAAAACCTAAACAAAAATATATGAGTTTATGATGTTTTGGTTGGATTTTCTTATCTTTATCGTTGTATTCAAAATGGATGCGTGTAGATGTGGATTTTCGGCTTCTTCGTCTATGATATCATCCACACCGTAAACATGATGAGCAACATTGATCTCATTGTAGATATATAACAAATGAAACACATGAATTTCAAATTGGCTCCCAGCATACAGTCAACGTGGAATTGAATGAAGATAAATAAAAAAGAAGCATAAATTCTCCGGTGGCAATACAAAAACAATAATTTCACTTATATTTTTTTAGCTGATTTACTTATATTCAAAAAAAAATTGTTTTTTATAATAAAGAAAAACTGCACATAGGGGTAGACACGATTCGTGTGATACATTGTGATTTGAATTGATTCGAATTGACTAGTGCTTTGTAAAATACCAAAATAAATATTTAGTTTTTCTTCTTTAACCTAATGAATTATTTCATATGACACTAAAGCAAACATCGACAGTTAGATTTATTGCAAAGTTTCACACGAACTATCAAGCTGTGATTCAAAATTATTTGAAATATTTCCAATTAAGTTGCAATTTAAAAAGATTCTATTTTTTGTAAAGATTTACTTGTTTGGATTTGGTGTATACCCCCTAGAATATAGAACATATATTCGGATGATGATGTCGTTTGAGTGGATCACATTTGATATCATCGTTACAATTTAGATAAAATGTCTATTCTATGCCTAGAAAAACCACTCTCATAAATAACTTATGGTCGCCTCAAAGGTTTACAATTATGTGATTGCATTCAACCGGGTGTCTCTTATAAGAAAAACCATTTTTGAAATTTTCTTTAAAACAAAATCAGACTAGAATATTAAGCAGTGTGTTGAAGCTGACACCCGTTGTGGCTGACACCCGGTATGGCGCAAACACGTTTCCTTAAGCCGAATAATCATAAAAAAATATGTTATGCTTTGCACGATAATATGGATTGCATCGTAAACTTTCATTATGCGTATAAACTCGTGAATTGGTGCGGAAAATGAGGTTTTTTTAAATGCGCCATTCATGCGCGAATTATTTAGTTTTCGAAATGATTTTATATTGGTTGGTAAATCCGGAATATAGTATTGAAAATCAAGCTCCGAATAATTTGGTAGATTCCACTATGTCAATTAGTTTGGGTGGATGAGGTGTTTAAAAAAAACGCAACCCATCAATTCATTTAAAGTGACCATTAATCGAATTTAATTAAATTGAGTTACCTAACAATCCAATCGAACAGAAAAAATTAACCAACGCAATCCCATTTGAATTTTATCCCATAAATCAAATAATTCATTTTATCAGTTAAACATTCAAATGTGTTTCATTTGAATTTTGAAGCATTTACATTTAAACATTAAACATTTATACTAACATCTTGACAATACCATTAAATTTATGCAATCCGGAAAGTTCGGAACAGACAGATTACTGACAACGAACCACAACCAAAATAAACTTTGCGAAATAAAAACAACTACGGGCGAGTGTTGAAGATCGATTGAATCTTGTTTGTCGTGTAAAAAAAAAATAAGTTCATTACCCAAGTATTTATTCAATCAAATCGCGAATAGTGTTGCTAAAAGCATGCATTGACAAATAAATTCGAACGAGGAAAATAATCATAATTAATTGAGTAACTGTAACAGTGAATTCACTTGGCGCTTGCGTTCGTCAGACCCTAGAGGGTCAAAATATGAACGATGGCACAACGAAGAAGACGTACGATAAAGGTGATAAAAATGAGAAAGCGGAAAAAAGTGACGAGAAAAAAGGTACACCATCATTGTCTATCGATCGTGCTGCATTCCTAATACTACGTGTAAAAAAGGCTTTCAAAAAGAAGCGCCAACAGCGAAAGGAACGGTAAGTCCAAATACAATTTCTTTTCTTCATTTCTTCGCTTGTGTGTTAATAATAATAGTAATAATCGGATATTGAATTTAGTTCAATTTATGCCGATTAAATTCTCACTTATAGAAGTTATTTTGTATGTGTTTGTTTGTCATCGGTCCCCCGTTGGTGTCGATTATGAGTTCGATGTTTGTATCGTTTATCGTCTCATCAAATTTATGATCGAAATAATATCAAGTTGACCCCCTAACCACCAACGAAAAAAAAACAATCCAAATATAAACCGAATTTCATACTCTACCATTCATCCGAAAAGAATAGTGACTCAACTCAATACGTCGCACGAAATTGCGTTAAGTGTGTGAAGAGATAGGTCAAATACTGCTTAATGCATCCGTTTCAGTTGATGTAATGAATTATTCATTTCATTGTTTTTCTCCGTGCACTGTTATGAAAAGTGAAAATGTGTCACAAACACACAGAGAGAGACACCATGGTGTACGAATTGATAAGGCGAGAAAAATTACCGATGAATTTCTACATCAACCAGCAAAAAATCGAGAACACATACAGCTCTATTGGTATTTTCCATTCTGTTGGGTTTTTGCCTATTCATTGGGTGTGTTGATTCTATGTTTTTTTTCTCGCTTTTTTCATATTTGTTTGCTACAAAATTTGGTCTCTTATCAGTCAAAGTAACAAGACAAAGACAATACATCTCAATAAGATTCCAAGACAAAAGAGGTAGAAGAATTAGTAAAGACAAAATGAAATCCCATTTTTAACATTCAAGGTCAATAAAAACGGATAATTAAGTTAATATAACAAAAAAAAAAAAAAAAATGAAAAAAAGTTCCATCGTCGTTTCCCTATGATTAGAGTGATTCTAATGCAATTTATAGCTCTTCTCACGTCCAAATGTCTGTATAAGAGATACATATTAATCAAATGAGCTTTACTTGTCCAAACCATGCTTTCAACTATGCAGTTAATTTGTTTTGATGTTTGGTTAGGCGTTACTGAATTTCTAATTTCAATATTTTTTGGAATATAATATTATTATATTTATGCCTGTAGGCGTAAATCGAATTAAAAAGCGATGAAAAAAAATAATGTAAATAAAGGATAATGAATTTACAGTAAAATCTCCAGAACCAAGAAATAGTTTCATTATACGAATTGGTACGAATTGGGGGATATTTTTACAACAACAACAACAATCATTTATAGACCGATTGTACCTTTCGGTGTGTGGTCTTTTACGAAACGACTAGACTCCAATTCCTCTAAACGATATTTTTACGTCATGAATTTTAACACCATAAAAAATGTTCCACCATTTGATTGCTTCACTGTAAATTAAAACCTTTTAGCCCTTCTCTTTCATGAAAAAATCACATCATTTTCCCGTCGAATAAAATCTATGTGCGATAACATTGTAGCAATCATCACATGTTTTCATATAAAATCATTATTTAATGTGGAGTTGAAACATCAAGTTAATTCCATTTAAAACAGATCGAAATATAATTATGTGCTTTTAATGAACTAAACGTTAAACATACACACTCATACGCGCCTCGTATACAATGCGTGTCGTGTAGACAGCCCATCTCTTTTCAAATATGCGCGCTGGATTCGCATCAGTTGAATGAAAGTAATGAATAGCAAAATGTTCACTTCATTCGGCGTTAAGTCAATTCCGAAAATTGCTTCACATGCTACATCTTAACTATCAATGAAATGTACAAACTCTATAATAATTGATATTCGACGTGGAGACACATAATCAACTATATTCCTGTAATTTGAATAATATCATCTAGAACTAGAATCAACATCGATACCATACCATTTCTTGGATTGCTGGATGGTTTGATATGGCGGAAATTGCAACAACAGTGTGTAATTTTGTCGCCGCTCATTTTCACATCTTTATGAAATGCCGACACATACGCGGCGGTGCGAAATAATGGAATATGACTTATTCAAACGACGAACGACAAAATTGAAACTGAAAATGTTGGTACCGTTGTCACCATCATCATTCGTGCCGCAATTCGCTCAAACTTTAGAAAATTTTCAGAATATTAAATTTACAATCGTTAAGAATTGAATACAACAATAACAACAACAAAAACAACAAAGCACGACAAACTCAGGACAATACATACATAAATCTATCTATAGCTGTACCGCGTCGCGCGCTCTATTCTTTTTAAAGATCTCTTTTTCGCATTTGCTTATGTTTTTTTTTCGTCGTGTGCTTTTCGAACGGTTTCCTTTAAGCCATTTGTATGCATCAAAAGAATGAAACTGGTGGTAAAAAGTCAAACAACAACATTTTTACCTGACTTGGCAGAAATGTTACAGTCTTATAGTTGATTTTTATTCAATGATAAAGATAAAGAACAGAGAGAAAGGGAGAGAGACTAGAATTGACTGCTTAAGCCAAACGAAATGTAAGACTATACAATCGTTGCACAGGTAATGGTATTTATTAATGTTCACCAAGGCAATATCTACTACATGTATTACGGAAAATGTGAACGATCTCATGGTATGCATATATAGCCCAAAGCTAAATCGAAATAAAAGGTAGCACCAGCCAACTTCGAAAAAAATCACGGAGTTGAACTAAATACAGAGAAAAAGAGACATGTTGCCTGAATCAAGCAAGAAAGGAATCCGAATAAAATTAACACCAACAACAAGAAGCTCAAGAATAAATGGCTAAAATTCATCGTTCATACAAACAGCACACGTCTACGAAAGTAAGAATACGCATACAAAAATGAAGGGAAAAAAAAGTTTTACATGAAAGCTTTTGCGCTCACAGTTGACGTCGAATAACAATTCAAATATTTCAGTGAAATGAACAATACAGAATGCAAACACTGTGGAGGATGTGCATGTTAATGACTTAATACATTTCACATTTTTTATAATTGAACATGTAACACGAAAAGGATGTTGTTGCCGCCATGAAGTAAATTAAAAAAGAAATTATAAATCTCATTCATTTGAACCGAATGCAAGTTTTCACTTTGGAAAATTGTTATAATAAAATCGATGGAATAGAAGAATTAGAAGAACAACAAAATCCAAAATGTAAGCACGGAATACGTGTAAATTGAATAAGGAGCAGCCCTTTTATTTTCGATATTTTATATTCTCATCGATAAGTTTCTCAAGTTTTTTGTTTTTCTTTGCTATTGTTCATGGTGGAACACAAATAAAAACAATTTTTTTTTGCACAACAAACAATTTCTCTTTTGTTAAATTTATGTTTGCACCACTTTCACATTTTCAACGTCGCCAAACTTTCCGAAGCGTGCTTATGCCATATTAAACATGGTTAAGAGCTAAAGAACAGCAGGCAAAAACGACGACGATGAGAGAAGTAGTTTGAACGACAATGCGTACGCGATGCGCTTTCAGGCTTAAACATTGCGCTCGCAAATATTGTCAGACACATGATGACGAACTGCAATTTAATGTGACGTGGTCAAGAAGTGTGCATAGACACACTGTGTGTGTGTGGATACAAGTGGAAACAAACAACGATGAATTGAAGCGAAGCGCAAGATAAACAGATTTGTAAAAAAATGCCAACATGCTTTTGAGCTGCGAATACGCTGAATATTTTTTTTAGCTTGGCTTTTGTTTCGCTATAATAATATCAAATCATATATAAAAACGATAGAAAAATTATTCATTCATCTCATTCAAACCCAAATAGCAGAAATATGAAAAACCATTTTCCTAACTCTTGCTGTTGTTGGTGTTAGTTGGTTAACAGTTTTTGTTATTTTTTTTTTTTATGTTTTGCAGAGCCCTCTTTCCACTTTTTTGTGTCATTTTTTTGTGATCACACTTTCGTCATCTTGTCATGGTTTGCAAGCAGCGTTATTTTTTTATTTCTATTCCTCGTTTTCTTGTGTTCCGCGTACATAAAAAAATACACACGCGTCAACTTTATATGACTTTGTGTTTATTTTTTTTAATGCTCTCTTTCTCCCTCACCCGACTTGACACTGTTCTCTTTATGCACTCATCTATTTGCACGAATCATTTACCGCCATCGTCTGTTTGCAATTTCTAATACATGCACATGGTAACAGTCAACAATCGTCATTGAAAGTCGAAGTGTTAACAGCGTCAAATACTTTGAAAGTTTGTTTTCCTTTTTCCATTTATATTTGCACCCCCCACCCCCCATATGATGGAGTTATAAGTCTCTGTCAACGGTATTTATTTAATTCAAAGGGTCAATTTATGACGTTTTTCTTGCTACTCCCATATGCAATAATCTCAAGTTTTTCCTTCCACAAAATATTGGGCAATGGAATTGACATCAATTTTAGTTAACATTCGGCATTCTTTCCTTATGTTCTATATTCATTTGATTTGGCGCATTTTTAACACATGAATTTTGTTGTGAGAAAATGAAATGTGAAAATTTGTTCAATGTTTCACAACATAAAAGCTTTTTGAACTGACGCCGGGACACAGTCTTCACTAAATACAGTCTTCACTTTAGTCTTCACTAAAAAAAGAACAGAAAATGTCCACGAATCATTTGTTCGCCGATTACGTCGTATTGAAGTTGGATAACACAAAGAGAGGCACTCTCATGTGTATTTTGCAAAAAATAAAGTGTAAAAAGCACATCCATGCGATGGCATTCTTTTCACACAAACAAACGTATAAAATAATATAAAATATATTTTACTGTTTCAAGTTCAATATAAATCGTAATTTTTTACTTTCTTTGTAAAATTGTTAGTGTCGACAATGATGGTTATTTTAACCAATCGATATTCTTCTCGATATCTCCATAGCATTGGACAGCGAACAGAGTTTCTGTTTGGACACCATGTTTGAAAGTGGGTGCATGTATTTGTGGCTCAAACAAGTAAAAGAACCGAATCATGAGAGAGAGAAAAAGAGAGATTAGACTACGCGTATGTCTGTGGCCGATGAGTAATCTATGTATTTACACTTTCGATGCGAATGTGGCGATAAATATAATTTAATGAAAAGTTTCGAATCAGTTCGCCTTTTGTATTCAGAGTTCTTCAGGCACCACCTCTTTCCACACTGGTGTGTCATATTTTACTTGCAATGGCTATAAAATCAACCGATGGCAATTTATTATCCATCAAGTGCTAGGGGCAGAGCAGTACTAGAATAATCATTTTTGTTTTAAGTAATTCTATGTTGTGAGTAGTAATCCATATTAATCCATAGTAATACACACTTACGTAAATTCTAACAGCAATGCAATGACGTTTCATGTGTAAGTTGTGTATGACATTTGCTAGGCATAAAGCGATCGCAGTATATTTCGGATGAGACATTTTATTGTTAAAAAATGGAAAATATCGAATTTAATTTAATAAATATCGAATAAATTGTTTCAATCCGCAATATACGACGATCGCTTCATTCCTAACAAATGTAATACACATCGTACACATGAAATGTCATTGCACTGCTGTTAGAATTTACACAAGTGTGTATTACTGCGGATTAATATGGATTACTACTCACACCATAGAATTACTTTAAACAAAAATCATTATTCTAGTACTGCTCTGCCCCTAGATCAAGTGGAATGAGTTCATAATAAGAATTAATTGTAGCCATCATTTTCAATTAACTTATCAAAATGCAAATGTTTTTTCGATTTTGTGGTGTTATTTTTATGTTGTGTGGTGTGTGTCGAACGTTAACTTCTTATCACTGGTTTTCGAACTGACTAGAATTATGACCTGTCGGTACGCTTCGTGTGTTGATTCATATAGGTAAAAGCACATCAAAGTGAAACATCGTTGTTCATTTATTGTTTAAGCAAGTAGATCCTGTGAAAGAGTTTTTATTCGCCGTTTACGTTCCATTTTTAAAGGATTAAAGTGTAAAAATGGCATCAACCTCAAATAATTCCGGGGTTTGTTTTTATTTTGATGAAATATTGGTTTATTTAATGATTCATTTTTTTTCTTTTAATCTTCGATTCAAAAAGGTCGATTACGCTAAATATGACTTTCCACGTGAAATTTGGTTCGTTAAACCAACAAATGAAATTGTATGCAAATTACTAGTTTTGGTGCCAATTATATTTTGCGGTGTTGCTATGAATGTTTTACTATTGAATATTATTATCAAAAATCGTGCATTGCACACGCCAACGAATTACATTCTATCGAATATGATAGTGGCCGATACATTAATGCTACTCGTTTCACCGGTGCTATTAATATGCTTTGATTTATTTCAAAATTTCATCCTCGGGCCGATTGGATGCAAAATTGGCGCTTTTATACAAGGTTCTTTTTTTTTTTCAAACGACAATTGCTCATTATTAAACAAACAAACATTAAACAAAATCTTTTTCATTAAATTCATAAAATGGTTTGTTTTAATTTTTTTGCTTGATTTTAGTTACATTCCTGCTAACATCTGTATTAAGTCTGTGCGTAGTTAGTTATGATCGTTTAACAGCCATCGTGTTGCCAATGGAAAAGCGTATAACAATGCGTGGTGCTAAGATGACCATGCTTTTTACATGGATGGTGGGCTTAACAACTTCAATTCCTTTTGCGGTTTACCGTAATTATATGGTATAATCTTTGTATCCTTTTGATTTTGTTCCGGCTCTCAATTTCACAAAATTGTCTCTTATTTCATGGAACGGCAAAATCCAGGAGCGAAAATGGAAAAATTTTGTTGAACAATTTTGCGTTGAGAATATGATAATCCTGCCCATTTACTGGCACATTATTTTAATTCTGTTGGTGTTATGTCCTCTCATTGTGATGATAATATGTTATTCAGCAATTTTTTGGAAGGTATTATATGAAAATCGCATTTATCATAGAAAATATGTGATTTTTCATACGAAAACTGTTTCACAAAATAAAATATTTTGTGTTCACATTTCAGCTGGATCGATATGAACAAAAAGTGTTAAAGCACGAGAATTCAATTACCATTTCGTATAAAACAAAAGTTGCCCGAATGCTGTTCATTCTTGTGAGTGTATTTATTCTATTGCACATTCCGTTTACGGTGTTTATGTTTAAGCGATCAAAATTACTGGAAAAATCCGAAATGAATCAAGTGGATGATGATGGTGGTATATTCTATATTCTATTTTGTTTTTCATATTGTTGTTTGTATTTGAATGCGGCTATAAATCCCATTATTTATGGCCTGACCAATGACAATTTCCGTCGTGCCTATCATCAAACACCAATCATACCGAGGCAATTATGCCGTTTGCTGCATGCAATCAAACAACTGAAATCGAACAAGGTTTGCGTTAAATCATTTCTACCTTCACATACAGAAAACAAATTTGAATCGAATCCATTTGGTTCGAGTGTTTTAATGTTTTATCCGAATAAATTCATTTGTCTGCTTCTTTTTTTAAAACACTAACTAGACACATTCTGTAGAAAAACCAAATATCGATGTACAACCCATTATTTATCGTCTAACTCAAGAAACTGTGCTAAATCCCACTTCAATTAAGTCAGCAACACATTCATCGCAAGCAACGGTCACGCCAAACATCAACGACAATGATTCAAGTGCCAACATTGATATTGCTTACGTTACAGACACCACCACTGTTGCCGCTGCTGTTGCTGTTGCCGTTGCCATTATCGACAACATCAACAATAACAACAAGGCGAAATGAATCATCATTTCATTTCCTAATTTGCCCACTTACTTGACAATTGACCAATTGCCAGTGCGACAATTGAAATGATTTTTTCTTTTCACCCGTAAAAAGTGGTGCAATGGGATGAAGTGCCGGAATGAATTAAATTATTTATACCATTGGGGTTGTCAATGGCAACAGTCGTTGACGATGACACAAATAAAAACCATTAATAAAACCGATCTTGAAAATATGTTTGTTTGTTTTTTTTTGTTTATCTTTGTTCCTTCTGCTTCACTGTTTAGAAATTCGGGTTCACAGTTTTCTGTAGTTAAAAAGAAAAGAGTTTTCGTTCTTTGGAAGTAATATGATAGCAGGCAATATATTGAATTAACTGGTCAGTTGAGCTGACAGTACGTTAGCCAGCTAAATGGGCTAAAACAATAGACGTTATTGTTTTAATGATGAATCACTTTTCTTTTTTTAATAGAAGTGATTGTTCATTATAACAATAACTTCTATTGTTTGAGTCCATTTAGCTGGCTAACGTACTGTCAGCTCAACTGACCAGTTAGTTCAATATATTGTCTGTATGATAGTACGTGCAAAGGAGGAATTTTGAAGGCACCATTTTTTTACTGTAATTAGATTTGAGTTCTACATCAACCATGAATAATAATAATAATTTTTTTTTTTTAAATATGAAGTGGTTGTTTAAAGCGTTCCATTTATCAAGTTTTTGAACTCAATATGTTTCTGAATAATTTACCGCGCATTGTTTACTCTGTGAGAGTATTGTGCGAACAAGGACAGTTTTACAATTTAAACATTGTGTATTGTTTGGATAAATTATGACGCACAATTCGTATGTTAACGATATTTGATTGTAACATACTAAGCTTCAATTCTCTATTTTATGTTTTATGAACGGAAACAAAATTCCCAGAAGGTTAAGCAACTGCAGTACCGGTAGTGTTTCGAATAAGCACACAATCGACATTCATCCGCCCTCCATATTACCACTTTCTCTCTTTTTGTGTTTATTTATTATTTTTATCGGGGCACATATTGTCGGCTCACCGTATGCTCAAATCCACTCACTGCCGTTCCCTGTATAATAAAACATAACAAACGTACTTAGAAAACGCAGGCCATTTATCACCCAAGTGAGAAAAATTACCGGTGTGCCAATTTTTTGTGACATTTATCTGAATGTTTATGATTGAGCGCGACTAAGTGAACCCCAATCAGCCCTGGAAAAAATAGCGACCATGTAACAAATAATACAAATATATTTCCGTACATATTTTCCGGCTTAACATTTGCATTAATTCGATTGTATTGAAATTTTAAATGAAAATTTATCAGAAATGGAAGTTACAAAAACAAATAACCAATTGGGTCATTCCAATTTTTCCCTTAAATTATTCAATCCGGAAAAGTTTCTTCATTTACATTTTTAAAACGGAGCTTGGCATAAGCAATGGCTTTTTTCATCTACTTCTTCTTGCTTCATGTTCAAGAACTAATAAGAATTCATTAGCTGTGAATGTAAAGCAGTGAAGAGCAAAGGAAAAAACACTGTAAATTAACTAGCAATTAAAGCAGCTGCAACGTTTATGGTATGCAATAATTTTTCGGTATTACTCTCCAGCGAAATCAGGCAGCACTCAACGAAAAGCTGTGAAGCTCATTGTTGCATGACCATGATATTTTCATATTTTTGTTTTTCTTTGCTTTTCGGACATTGAAAATGAATTAAATATCCCTGAGCTGTGTTTGTACGCTGAAAAGGGCGTAAGCTATGCTTCCTGTCTTCTTCATTATAAAAAGGAAAAAATGAATGCAAAGGCATTCACACACATACGATGACGCATATAGTGTAAATGTAATTGTGCACGAAATGTAAAAGCGATTAAAAATGAGTGCGATGTGCATGTTTGAAAATAGTGTGTATTGCACTTTTGATGCTGCTAAGATGTGCCACTCATCAAATGCTTAAAAGATCCTGTGGTTTTATTCCGTTTGCTTTTATAAATGGATACATTTTTAGATGTAAATATATTATTATGGCATACATGTATACGACGGTATAGGTCTTTGTGCTGTTTATTATCTTCATTGTTGTTGCGTTTAAGTGTTTTGTATTGTTTTCGCTTTGTTTTCATATCTCTCAACCATATATGCGCGAATGGTAGGATAATTTCGAGATAAAAGCAATGGCAAAACAAAGCAAAGCAAGCGAAAAAAAATATAGAAAACAAAACACCTACACCACATACACTTTTTGACTTGATGTATATAAATGATTGTTTATTGTTGCTTTTAAGTGGAATGTCAACAATGGCAACTTTTAGCAGGGGTAAACCGTCTTGCTAAATGTAAAAATAGCGTGTCGGTTAAATGATATCCGATTCGAGATTTATTTTCATACACCTCATATATGGCAAATTTTATGCGTCTCAGTTGACCTAGTTTGGTGTCTCAAGTTCAATTGTTTTTTTTTTTTTTTTTAATTTCATTCATCATGAATGATGCACACTGTTTTGAAATCCAGCATGCAGAGAATCAATCTCAGAGGAGCAACAACAAAAATTGTGTAAATTAACAAATTCTTAAAGTGTAAAATGGTGTCCAAGCAGAAAATTAAATGTGGATTTCAAATGAACAAATTGCCACATTTAAAATGGCTGCATTCAAAACAGAAAAAACGCAATTTGTATACGACAAACATTTGAATGAAAATTGCAACTTTTTTTGTGTACTCCGATTTTTTATACGATTTGATGAAACGGAGAACATGTACTTTTTCTCATTATTAATCGCATGGGAATTGAGCAATAGACTGACAACGAACGACTCACTTTATTAGCCTAAACAATGACACCATGATAATGATTGTGAATCCATATTTTCTTTTTTATAGCTTCAAACACAGCCAGAGCTAGGCAGTTCGTAAGTGGAAATAGTACTTTTTTGTGATCGATCGTTCGTTCGTATTTCAACAAACGAACTAGCGACAATACAAAATGCCTAGCTCTGCAGACAACGCAATTTAAAGAATAGTTTTTATTTGAAGTCAAGTTCTATGTTCCAACTTTACGAAATAGCAGAATTTTGATCGACATTTTTTTAAGCAGAGATATAGAATTTTCGTTGAATTCTAAGTCTATTGTATGAAGTATCAGCCACAGAAGTATTTGGATAAATGTCGAAATTATGTTAAAACTTTGCATAAAATGGAACCCCAATGGGGTTACCCCATATATTTCGAAAATATTGTCATATCTATAGCTTATTATTTTCAATCGATTATTCATAATTGGAGTTCTGTGTAGCTAAAATGCTGCATGCGACTGTTCTATTCTATTAAGAGTTCAAGTTGAACCGTTCAACTGCAGTTGCTCTTAAGTGAATTCTTGGAATAAAGAAGCAAACCGTACTTGTTTGCAATCTATATGTGGACTATGAGCTATATGTGTGCAATGAATCAAAATTAAATTTGCTTTTATTCAGCTCGCAATATTGAGTTATTTTGTCGGAGCGCATCTCAACTCGACTCATGTAAACAATAAGCATATAGTAAATAGTGGCATGAAATGTGTTGATACAACATATGTGTGCATATGTCTACGTGTGTTGTTCATCCGGTGAAAGTGTTTGATAATTTTATTTATCCGTTATTATATTTTGGATCAATACATTCTCCAGCTCTTTGTCTGCAATTTTCATTATGCTTTTGTTTTGTCCAATATATCTAGTATCGAGTATCGACATCTCGACAAAATTTTCGATACACCATTTCTTATACGTGAACTGTTCAGACATTGTTCCCTACGCTTTTCAACTATTCGTATGCTTATTTTTGGTATTAAGAGAAAAAACAGAAAAAAAAAAACGCCTTTACACTGCGTGCACTATATATTATGAACTTGAATTATCAAAAAAAATGATTTCAACATGGGAACATACATTCACATTGTATTTTGGGAACACTTTCACTTCGTTTGTGTCGGTTGGTTTTATAAACTTTTACTTGATGAAACTTAGATACATGGTATTTTATTTTTCAGAAGTCAAAAGAACGAAAAGTTTTATGTGTTTTGTTTATTCATGCAATTTCTTTCTCTCTCGAAGCCATGTTGAATGTTATGCATTTTTCAACTAAATTCTGTTAAGTATAATGTGGAAAAGTGTAAATTCAAAAAAAAACCACTACGTCTTAAAAATGGATGCAAACATTTCCTGTTCCGAGTGATACATAAATTTTTCTTTATTGCCATCATCAACATCAGCATCGAGGTCTTGAGCATTTCTTTTTACATCGTCGTCTTCGTTTTGCATTTCTTTGAAGTGTTGCAGTGTGTATGCGCTGTTTGCCTCTTGAATAGTCAGTGTTAAAAGTACACTTCATACTTCGGCGTTGGAAACACTATTATATTGATTGTTTTGCTACATACATATATTTTTCTAACTTCTTTTATTTGTTAGATGAATTCAATTCAAGCATACATATTTCTTATTTGAATGCTATTCATAAAAGAGTAACTTTCAATATTAGTTTGTCAATTCGTCCAAGTTTGATAATGCAATTTTTTTTGTGATAGATTTTTGTTTTCTTTATTGTAAAAAGTAGTTGAACTAGTCTGTCGCCACATTTTGTCAACAACAAAAATAGAGAGTGAATCATATATTTGCCAATATTTTCTCGACGATGTTTCAAAGTGAACATTTTCCGACTATAAAATGATTTTAAGAAATAAAATTTCATCTTGGATAGACTGCAACGTTTTAGAATTGCATTTTCCTCACAATTCAACCGTTCGCATGTACATTTTCTTGGAATGTTTTTTTCTTTTCTTTCTGAAATTTATAAAACTTTGAAAGAAAAGAAATTCAAAACCATTCGCTTCTCACACCATCCACAATCAAAGTGTGCTTTTATATTAGATTAAACTATCATATGTACATCACGTTTTGGTTGTTTATTGGTTCGTAACAGTTATATTGTTACTGGAAATGCTATTGGTGTATTATTAGTTTGTTACCGTATTCGTTCGTATCATAAATTCCAACGATCGTTGAACTAAAGCGAAAATAGTGTAGGTGTTGCCATTGACACACGGTAGCAGTGAGCTTTTCGATTGTCTGT